GGGATTTTGTCTTCTGCTAATTGCGTGTGCCGCCGATGGATTTTTCCCGGCTGTCTGGGGATCCTCGCTCCCTCTCGCTGTCTTTGTGGACGCGGCTAATTTGACGCTTGTTTGTCTTCCGGGGAGACACCAGGATGGGCAGCTGGATCTCTTCATCCTCCCTCCCTCCTTTTTTTCTGTTTTGGAGAGCCTTTGGATTTCGAGCTGTTTTGGTTTAGGTTCGCAGACCATCGTTGGCGACAATCGAACCAACGAATTGGGTAAAAGTGTTCTCTTTCCAAAGACTGTCGCTTGCTCGAACACACTCCATAGTCTCCTAAAAAAGTACACTGTCTAATCATCCTGTACGTAGTTCTGATTGAACGAAAATATCCGATGATTGGAAAGATTTCGTTCAAGCGTGCATGTTTGTCACGACGAAAGATAAGAGAATGGGGGAGGGATGACGCGACGTCTGTAGACGAAGGAGAGATAGAGAGAGAGAGAGAGAGAGGAGAGAGAGAGAGAGAGAGAGAGAGAGAGAGAGAGAGAGAGAGAGAAGACGGAGAAATCAGCTGTTGCGCCCGTTAAGAAAGATAGAAAGGATGTCGTGGGTGGGCAGGAAGCTCTCGGCGTAAACGGATTAATTATCTTGTTTTTAGGTGGAAATCACTGATTACTCATACTCGTATAGCGGCGTTTTCAAGCGTTTTTCTTTTCTTCCCTAAATTTTCAGTCGCTGCTTAAAACGGGCCGACCAATTGAAAATCAAAGGTCTGTGCGAAGTGCCGGAATCACGCGAGGGCGGCGTTGCGTCGGTGAGCTGTTTGAGTACGCCACCGCGCGACACCAGTACTCCACTGCCATATCCGGTTCGTCGTCGCTTCAATCACCACTACCATCATCGTCAGCGCCTCAACTGCTTTGCCGGTGCCGGCGGCGCGGCCGGTGGCGGCGGTAAGCTCAAAGCCAGATATCACCACCCCAGATACAAGAAAGCCGAAAGTGCGCTCGCCCGAGCGACAGTTCAACCAGCTCCATCATCGGAAATACAAGGAGGAGGATTTCGTTGAGAACTACGTAAAGGACTGCAACAAGGAGGTGAGCTCACCTCGGTCGGGGACGCCCGCGCAACGTCGAGTGCCTTCCGCGTAGGTACTGACGAGCGAAAAATTGCAGAATCGACGCGAGAGCTGGCCGTGCGAGGATGACGAGTGCATGGAGACGACAGCAGGATCAGGCGGCGCCTCACTGATCTTGAACACGAGCCAGCGTAACGGCAGCAGCAGCAGCAGCAGCAGCAACAATAACAACAACAATAACAACAACAACAACGAATCCGCAGCAGCGAGACGGCAAGCAACGACCGCGGCAGCAACGCTAACAACGCCGCCCCAACAGCCAGTAACAACAACGGTACGTGCAGACGGCCCGCTCGTCGCCTTCTCCCCGGCTGTTCGCATCGCAATGATCACTCACCTTTTGGTTTTTTTAAAAACAGGTGACATGTTTTGTCACACAGGCCTGGGCCATTACGGACACCATCCGGATCCCACCGAGGTGGATCTGCCGCCCGAGACGCGCCGACGCCACCGAGCGCCACCCTCGTCGGCACCACTATAACCCACCTCAGAGACTCGGATCATCACGGCACAGGCGAGTATACTTCGCCGCCGCCGAGTGGGCGAGCGACGAGGCCAAATTATTTTGATTCCTCTCGCTAAGCAGCTAATGCGCGTCGCCGCGGCTGCTCTCCTTCTTGCTCTCTCCGTCTGGGCGCGAGGCTCGTTGCTCCGGCTCTCCAAATCCCTCAAATTGATTTGTCGCTCTCCTCCCGACTGTTGCAGACATTCAAAACTGCGACAGCGTGAAGATCAAATTCGAGACGCTCCACACGATGGACTCCTCGGACACGATCGATATCGACAGCCACATGTCGGATCGTGCATCGGTCAGTTCCAAGACCGAAGACAACATGATGATGATAACACCGGAACTCCTTGGCCTCATGCCCTCGGGTAGCTCGGTACACTCGGATTCCGGTGAGAATAACTCGCGCAGCCATTCCGGTGGGTCGGGACATCATCATGGCTCCAAGTCTTGGACCCAAGAGGATATGGAAGCTGCGCTCGAGGCACTGAG